CGTTCGCGGGCCGCCCTCCGTCGCTGCCGCCGCGCTTGTCTTGCTGCTTCCTCCTCGCGAACCTCACCCTCTTCCTTTTCCTCCGGCCTCTCTTCCTGGCTTGTTTCCGGCAAGTCCACAAGAGTGTGCTCTTGATCTGTTCCCCCTTCCGTTCCCTCCTTGGCTGCCGCCCTCTGCCCCTCGCCCTTCTTCCTCCTCGCCCCTGCCTCGAGGAGATTGAAAAAGCGATCCTCCACGGACAGACCTCCTCCTCCCCCACCATCTTCCCCAACTTCCCCTCCCCTTCTTGTGGCATCTTCTTCCCCTCCACCTCCTCTCCCTCCACCTCCCCTCCGTCGTCTGCCTCGTGATATTGGATGCGACGGGTGCTGTCCTTGATACCTTTCCGTCGCATGCCTCCCTGCTTGCCCATGACTGGAGACCGCTAGATCAAAAGCCTGTGAATGATAGCAAAAAATACGTGATGGATGCCATTTTGCTGTTGAAAGGACTGCGAGCCGTTCCCAACCTGAAGGAGCTCTCAGGATATCGTCGCCCTGGCCCGCTTGACGCGTTGCACTCACATTGATAATGGCGCTGTCGTCCCACGTATTTGAATCCGCTTCTGCATGATAGGTGGTACCCGCATGACCATTGGTATTTCCAAACACCATTCCAGAGGAATACATCTTTCGGTTTGGTATTAAACAGAGCCAGGTGCTGCAGTCCGAGAGGGGAGGTAATTAGAGTACGAGTTGAGCAGGAAAGAATGAATATCAGAAAAAGACGGGGCCACCTATTCAGCGCGAGAGAAAGCAAGTATAGGACGTTGTTGACTTCAAACCGAGGTGAAATTGTCATTTTTCGTCGGACTCCGATGTTTTACGCAGCTTATCCCCAACGGGCACCACAGGGATCGATAGGAGGAGCAGCCTCGCCCGCGGATCGACGGAGGGGGGATGAGAAACATTGGAAATATTTTAATGCCCTTTGATGAGCCTTTAAAATCCACCTTTGTGCCCCATATGGATACACAATTACAGACCATACCACCGTCGTGGAGTTCTGCTGTTGGTTTGGTTTCATTGAGTATAAATATGAGGACCAACGCCTTGAGAGCAGCGGGCTACAAGCATGGAGACCGGAGGCCAAAAGTGTTCAGCTCTGTGCTCTCCCTCCTCTTTTTTGCCAGCGTCGCCACCGCGGTAGCTCACAATCTACCTGTCGCGTGTAGATGGATGCGAGGAGTGGCGATAAATAGAGAAGCTACGAAAGAAATCCTTCCTTTCATGTCACGACGTGAGGGGGTGAGCTTGGCACTCTGCAGCCTTATCCGCAGCAGAGGAGGGGCGAGAGCTGCGTCTGCAGCTAAGGATAAGCATCGGCTACATAACGATAGGGCAAACGACAATGTGGTTGAGGAGGAAAAGGCTGAAAATGAAGAGGAGGAAGAGGAGGAGGAAGAGGAGGAAGAGGAGGAAGAGGAGGAAGAGGAAGAGGAAGACGCGGAGGAGGATGAGGATGATTATGATGAAGAAGGGGTAACTGAAGAAGATTTTAATGTAAGTTACTACCGCTATGGAATGCAATGAACACGCCCCGAGCGCGTCAGGCAAGGGCTCTTACGACCATCATGACCCTGGCATTGCCCTCCCATCTCCCGGCCCATATCCTTATAGGACGGATCCTTCGCGTCGAAATTGAAGAAGGAGTACAGGCGGACGCCGCCTGTGACCAAAGTAAGGACACGGATGGAGCGGGGTGTGCGCCGTTGGAGGGGGTTGCGCTCATTTTTGGCGGCCTTCTTTATTAAAAAGCTCACGCCTCCCTCCCTCCGTCCCTCCCTCACTGTGTCCCTCCTTTTTCCCCTCCTGGCCCTTCCTGGATACCCATCTCCCGCTTCAAGGCGTATCTGATGGCATCTCTGAGCGTGACGACCGCAGCCATGCTCTTCAATAAGAACCAGTGGCCCGAATGGTTGCTCTTGGACTGGGCAAAAGTGGTAGGCCGCCTGCAGGTGAGAGAAAAGCAGGCTATGGAGTGAAAAGCATGATAATTGACCCCGAGCGACGAAAGAGGGGCGAGAGACCAATAGGACATTCGACAAGCATTAGAAGGGAGACCTTTCCTATCTCAATCGATCGCCCTCCCTCCCTCCCTCGCTTGCTCCCTCCCCGCCTCCCACAAGATCTGGCGTCCATTCACTTCCTTCCTGTATTTCGGAAGCTTTGGCTTCAACTATCTCCTATCCGCCCACTTTATGTGGACTTACATGGCCCACTTGGAGAAGCTCAAGTGTAAAAATCCGGCCGATTTCGTCACCATGGTAGTTAAACAGTCCCCCTCCCCTCCCTCTCACTTCCTCTTTCTTCCTCTTTTCCATTTCCCATTCACAAAGTACCGTTCTCGCCCGTCGTTTTTTTACATTTGTTTGTTTTCTTTGCCCTGTCTATTTGTCGCGACGCGTTCTCTCCCGTGCTAACCCTCCTTTTCCCCCGGCCGTCCTTCCCGTCGTACATGTCTTTGGCAGGTGCTCTTTGGCGTCAGTTTCCTCCTTGTCGGCAGTCAAT